TCTGGTCAAATTAAAATAAATGAATGAATAAATAAAATTAAATAGATAATTTTTTAAAAAAAGAAAAAGAATTTGTGATAATTTGTCACGCTGACAAAACTAACTTTCAAACAGAGATATACCTAATGATTTACACAAACATATGTCATTACTGTGCTTGGTTCCACTCAATTCTGTCAGTACACTGTTACTGAATTATCTGATTTCTACCAATCTGATAGGTGATAAATATCCCAGTATAACCAACTTATAAGTGGTAGTTGAGCCTCTTTTTTTAGCCTCTAAGGATCACCTATGTTTCTAAGAATTACTACTCACAGCCCTTCTCATTTTCCATTGTTATTAATCTTTTGTTAGCTATTTTATCAGTATTTACAGGAGTCCTTTATGTGAGAAAAATCAGCCTCATGTGTGCAACCAACTGCAAAAATACAGTTTTCATTATTAAAATTAAATTTTTTTCTTTTAGTTTTGCTATAGGGTGTTTGTGTCTGTCAGAGAGAAACAGAGACTAGGAGAAAGAGAAAGTGAAAAATCACACCCCCCCCCCCAGTGGGGATAGCCACACTACAATTCCTTTTTTTGGAGAAGTTTTTGCTATAGGGTGCGTGTGCTCGCCAGAAAGACAGAGAGAGACAGAGAGTCAGAAATGGAGAAATCAACCCCCAGAGGGGATTGCCACGCCGTAATCCCTTCTCTTTCCATTCTCCTCTCGGGATCTTGGGCACGCACGCACACGCTGCCACTGGATCTAGGACTTTAACTGCGGTCGACTACATGGGAGTCCAGTGACATAGCCATTACGCTAACTACTGGTCCCTACAATCCCTTCTTTATTCTCTTGAGATTTTAGGTGGGCGTACTTGCATACTTCGAGTGTTTTTCAAGCTGCTGGGTCCGGGACTTGAACCGCACAGTTGGCCATGTGGGATTCAGCCACCTTAACTACCATGCTAACAACTGGCCCGACTTTTTAATTGTATATATTCAAATGTTTCAACTTTTCAATATACTTCGATGTAACTACTGTGCTCTGTTCAATCCTTATTCTAGCTAGTACAGATATACTGACAGCAAGACATAAACATCCGCCTACATCATATCATGTTTTCTTGTATAACCCTTGAAGCATTCCCAGACATTTCCCTTTCAGAATATATCTGCATTTATAAACAACTCTGATATTTTTATTGAAAATGTATTTTTCCCACTAGACCCTAAACTCCACAAGTACTAGTCTATGTCTCTGTTCACCACTATAATCCCACTTTCCTAACACAACACAAGTTTGTGGTATGTGCTCAGTATTAGTTGACAATATGATTGAATGAATACTGAAAGACTACAGAAAGGACATAGAAAAGGAAAGGGAAAAAAAGAATTTTTATTCATTATGTGCACTATAAAGTCTGGAAGAATTCACAGCAAAATCATAATATTCTTAATTGCCCATGTAGTAGAATTTTGAGGCATTTCCTCCCCTTCTCGCCCATTGGTTCATCTGTAGTTTCACTAAAGATATGATATGCACAAACAATACAGTCACTGAGAAACAACTGATGGAATTAAAACCTAAATCCAAATACTTCACACTTTCCTGAGATATCCCTAGTTTTATAATATTACACTTAGAAGCTTTTGGATTTAATTAGATACCTTTCCTAGTTTGCTAAGTTTTGTTTTGTTTTGTTTTTTAATTGCCAGAGGGAACACATTCTCAGAAAGGGGAGAGAGAAAGCATCTCTAAACAGGGCATAAAATTCTTGCCATTTTAAAATATGCATTATCCATGCATTTTTTGAAGACCATCTGCCCTACGGTTGGCTCCTTTTTAATATGAATTGGTTTTATCTCTCAAACTAGATTATTAACTTTCTGACATCTTCTTAGCAAATCGTCAGTATTTTCTCCTGCCGTTTGCTCAGTACCAAGTACACAGGAAGACCTCACAGTCAATGATTTCTCCTCCATAGTCTCTAAGTAAGAGACATAAAATAATTATTGTGCAAAAAGTACATTACAAAGATATCCCATACATCCTGATTAAAAGAAGACCATCAATTTGGCATTTATCTGGCCCTAGTCACTTTGTTGCTATTTTTCAATCCCAGTTATATTATGATAGGACTCAACTCTTAATATTTTTATTATTAGCTGTGGATTATCTATACCATTAATCATGACAGATTACTCTGAATCTAAAGGTATCTTCTCTCATCCTTACAATATCCTTTTAGGTCTCTCCTTACTTAGTCATTGCCTGAAGAACACAAAGAGTTAAAACGCTTAATCATGAAGATTCCTAAATGGGAAAAGACACAAGTTCAGAATTCTATCATAATACATAATTAATTTTCACACATACTATTGCAGGAAAATTAATCATTCAAAAAAGGAAAAGTCAGTCACAGTGGCACAGTGGCACAGTGGTAACACTCTATGATGCTGAAGAAGGTCTCAGGTTTGCATCCTAAGGTCTCCCTGGGCACACTGGGCTTGATTCCTATACCCGTGATCCTGGCTAGGTGAGGCTCGGGGGAGGACCATGTGAGAAGACTCTGTCAGAGAGAGCCTAACTCTTTCTCTTTCTCCTCACACCTTTAGAGAAAATAAATACATAAACCTAAAAATAAGATAAAATTCCCCCAGAATGTTTCATTGCTTTACTTACAGGGCACATCAAGGAAACTCGAAGGCTGGTTGTAGCAATTTCACTATCAGGATCTGCAGTAAGTTTTTCTTTAACTTTAAAAAGAAAAAAGTTTTTAATTTAATTAATGGTGACACGAATGGAATTACAAAAATACGTAGTATCTTATTTGAAAATATCTCAAACACTTCAAACAGGTCAAGAAATTATAAAAACGAACACATTAAGTATTCATACATTAACAATACAACCATACCCCTACCATACCCCTTTAACAGGTTAAAGAATTATGAATGTGCAAACTCTAGATCATATGTTTAACCAAAGTTGTTTTTAAAAGTGTTTTTCATTTGTTTTTTAACTAAAGCTGCTGGTAAGGAAGCCAAAACAGAAAGTTAATTAAGACTTAAGATTAAAACAACAATAAAGAGAACAAGTAGGAATGCAGTACCCTGAGCTTCAATGCTTCTTTAACACATTTATTACTATTTTTATAAGGCAGTGTTGGTTGTTTTCAACAACTGTCAAATCTGTAAATATAAAAGGTATATTCTTATACCTCCTTTCACAATGAAATACTATTAACTATATATGTGATGATGGTGCCTGCTTTATTCACCAGGTAAAACATTTAAGTCAATATATATAGTGTGTGTGTATATATGCTAATAAATATGTACTAATATAATAAATATTGATATGTATGTGAGTTTGTGTTGTTTTTTTCCCCCATTATTAAAGCATCTTATATGTTTGGTCTTACAAACATACTTACTTAGTGCTCTGGAATGATCAGGGTTTCTAATACCTTTCATTTTTAATCTCTGTAATAGCATGGCTGATGTGAGCTGTCGTACAAGATAAACAGACATGGAGTAATTCTACAAAGAAAGATAATCTGTATTAAAGATGAGAGGTGATATTCTCTTTATTTAAACAAAACATTTGTTGAGGAAATTCTGGTTCCTAATAACAACATTCAAAATTAACTTCTACAGGAAGATCAATAACTCAGAAATCAACTCTTTTATTTCTGGAAAGATAAAACTTCAATCACTTTAAAGGTATTTCTTAATCACCTATTTTGGGACCAGCAGCTGACGTAATGGCTATGTCGCTGGACTCCCATATAGTTGACTGTGGTTCGAGTCCTGGAGCTGGTGGCTTAAATTCACGCCCGGTGCGTGTGCGCCCAAGATCCCGAGAGGAGAATGGAGGAGAAGGGACTGCAGCATAGCCATCCCCAATGGGGGGTGATTTCTCGCTTTCAGTCTCTCTTTTTGGCGAGAGCAAACACACCTATAGCAAAACCTCTCTCCCTTCCCCCAAAAAATCACTTATTTTAAAACATTCACTGGTAGGGAAACATAGCTTATCTCACTGTTTTCAAGTAATGTTTCCAATTTAACAAAACTGGCCTTTTGGGCCATCAAGAGAATATATCTCCCCATGCCTGCGCCTAACAAGAACCATTCTATTTTTATCTACTTTATGTAATAGGGCTTTTATATTAGGTTGGTACAAAAGCAACTGCGACTTTGGACTTAAAATTTTAAGTCATTATAACTAGGTTCAAACAAAATAGGAACCATTAACAATCAACTTATTTTTGCCAAAGAGAAATGAGTTTATTCCTGTATCATAAAAATCTGTGCTTCGGAATTCAACAGGCTTTTGGAAAGTATCTTCTGCATCCTGCTGGTTAAGCAAGTGTTTTCCCTGCAAAAAGTTATCCAGATGCTGTGGAGGTCGAGTGACAAGACGTCAGGTGAATATGGCAGATGAGGCAAAACTTCATACCCAATTCATTCAACTTTTGAAGCACTGGTAGTGCAGCGTGCAGCTGGGGTGTTACCTTGGAGAAGAATGGGCCTTTTCTGTTGACCAATGCCAGCTGTAGTGAAGGGGCCAGTAAGTGGCATGGTGGTTAAAGGCGCTGGACTCCCACATGGCTGACCGCAGTTCGAGTCCCAGACCTGGCAGGAATCACTTTCAGTTCCTCTCTCTCACTGTCCCGCTCTGGTCAATTTAAATAAATAAATAATGTCAAATCAAAATAATTCTTTGGAAAAAATAAAAGAAAGTAAGAAAGCTGTAGTGAACTGAACCAGACCCCACCAAAAGTGACCATGCCTTTTTTTTGATGTAAGTTTGGCTTTGGGAAGTGCACTAAAGCTTCTTCTTGGTCCAAACACTGAGCTGGTCATGCCAGTTGTCATATAAAATCTACTTGCCATCGCACATCACAATTTGATCAAGAAGTGGTTCATTGTTATTGCATACAATAGGAGAAAACATTTCAAAATGACTGTTTTTTAGGACTTTTGGTCAGCTCATGAGGCACGCACTTATCAAGTGTTTTCACCTTTCCGATTTATTCCAAATGCCCAAAATGGACATGGTTTTGAGTTCTTTGTAACTTCTCATGTACTTTTAAGAGGATTAGCTTCGGTGATTGTTCTCAATTGGTCACTGCCAACTTCCAACTATGCTCATCTTCAAGGCTCTCATCTCCTTTGCAAAACTTCTTGAACTACCACTACACTGCATGCTCATTAGCAGTTACTGAGACAATATGTTGTTGATATTGCAAGTTGTTGACTGTTTAAGACCCATTTTGAAATTGGAGAAGAATACTGCTATAATTTCCCTAGTCTAAAATATATACAAAATAAACAGCAAGTAATACATCATTAGCAAAAAGAAAAGTGAGAAATGCACATTAAAACGATATATACATAACTTAACCACTTTTATATAAGAATGTATCTATTAATAATATCAAACAGCAAATTACAACAATGCAAAACCGCAATTACTTTTGCACCAATCAAATGTTTTCATTTGAAAATGAGTTTCACTGCAAAAACCAGTGGTCTGAATTAACGCTTCAAACCAAGAGTTCCAAAGTTCTAATTCTGGCAAGAAACCATCTATTATGTGACTTTAAACAAATCATGCAAATGAACCCAGTATCGGCTTTCCTCTACAAAAGCTTTGACAAATTCCCGTTCCCAGATAGGCATTTTACTGGGGTAGAGGTGAGGTAGCTATTATACCATGTAAGACACAAGAATAAATGCTAAAAGTCAAAAAGGCAAGGGCAGAAAATAACAGCATCCAATCCTATACCTCTTAGATCTGTAGCAAATGAAATTTTATTAGTTATTTACAGAGATATGAAGAGATAAAATATAATTTTATCTAAATACTAAAAAACAAAACCAAAAAAACTACCTTACCGGTTCACCAAATGTATATTCATTCAATTGATTCTATAATAATTTTTTTTCCCCTAAAAGGGTTTTTGCTATAGGGTGTGTATACTCACTGGAGACATAGAAAGAGAAAAGTGAGAAATCACCTCCCAGGGGAGATGGCCATGCTGCAATCCCTTCTCCATGCTCCTCCCAGGATCCTGAGCATGCATGAACATATACCTAGCGTGAGTTTCAAGCCACCAGGTCCGGGACTTGAACTGTGGTCGACCATGAGGGAGCCCAGCATCTTAACCACCACACCACCTTCTGGCCCATATAATAAAATACTTTTAACAGTTACCAAACCAAATACTGGGTTTTTGGAAAAGTCATGATGCACTTTTGCAGAGAATAACAAAGAGAGATACATGACTTTTCTGACAACTCAATATAATGAATATTATTTTTAATGTTATTTTAAATATCTAAACATTAAATATACTATATAAATTTTAGATCAGTTAATCATTTTAATTACAAGGAAAAAATATTATCCCCATTATACAGCAAAAATGACAACTCTTCAAAGTCTACAAATCATTTTAAAAACTGCAAGTTATTTCCGGCTCTGCAATTACTCTAGGAGTAAAACAAACAAACAAAAAAAACCTCCTATCATACGGACCAGTAGATGGTATAATGGTTACATTGTTGGACTCCCAAATAGTCGACCATGGTTTGAGTCCTGGACCCGGTGGCTCGAAATGCATACTGGGCGTGTGTGCACATGCACCCAAGATCCCAAGAGGAGAAGGGATTGCAGCGTGGTCCCCCCTCCTGGGGGAAATGATTTCTTGCTTTCTGTCCCCATCTCTGTCTCCCTGGTGAGTGCACGCACCCTACACAAAAATCTCTCTTAAAAAAAAAAACTGGGGGTCAGCAGATGGCATGGTGGTTGAGGTGCTAGACTCCCACATGGCCAACCACAGTTCAAGTCCCAGATCTGGCGGCTTGCTTTCTCACTTTCCCTCTCTCTCTGGTCAAATTAAAAAATAACAAATAAAATTAAATAAATAATTCTCTTTTTTTTTAATAAATAATTCTTTAAAAAAAAAAATTCCTATCATACTCACAGGCCTCAATTTCCCCATCTACAAAAAAGGGATATTATGGTTGAAATAGGAGTATTAAAGCAATACCCAGAAAATAAAATTTTTCCAGTATTTCAGTTATATAAACAAGTAATTCTAAAATGTTAATTATCCCTCTATTAATCAGTATCTCATAATTCATATAATTCATTTTGACACTAAGAATCATCAGAAAGCCAGGCTTATCAACATGAAAGTATAGAATTCATATAACTCTCTAAGTAAGTATTTTTAAATAAGATGCCCACACGTTATCTAAAATATCAGCTGTTTAATAAAGCCTGGATCACATAATTTCTAACCATAATATGAGTACATTTGACCATTTTCCCTAAAGACTGATAAATATGCATATTTCCTTTCCAATAAAATAAACATGTTACTCAAGGAACCTCAGACTTAACGTTTTTAACCTTACAAATCTTCATATAGCCACTGCTGAATTAAACATTATTGCTTTCTAAGATTACAATCAGGGCTAGTCAGAGATGGTGGTTAAGACAGCTAGATCCTACACAGACAAGTATATATGGTCTGAGTCCCAGACCTGATGGCTTGAAAAACACACTGGGCACATGTGTGCATGTCCAAAATCCCAAAAGGAGAGAGAAACAGAGAAGTAACTGCACTGTGGCCAGCCCCCATGGGTAGAGTGTTTTCTCACTCTTATCTCTGGCAAGTACATGCACTCTCTGGTAAAAAAATAAATAAATAAAAAAGATGAGATAGTGGCCTAAGAAAAAAACTAAATAAATTCCTTTCCAATGGGATCACTCTCACATTACCCAGAGAAAAAAATCTTTTACCTTTCCTATTTCTGATGCCCAAGAAATGGAAATCTGGTTTGGCACAGCCGAAGATAACCTAACTAAAGATGTGATGTTCAAGGGGCGTCCAGGACGCTTCTGTTCAATCCCATTCTTAGGTGGTGGTGCATAGCCCTATAACAATAAGAAAGAAAGTTATTTTAAACTCTTAATAGCAGATTAAACTTTTTCTTCCAAGATAAAAACAGGATCTTGTGGAGTTAGCAGGTGGCGTGGTGGTTAAGTGCTGGATACTCCCACATGGCTGATCACAGTTCGAGTCCCAGATCTGGTGGCTTGCTTTCTCACTTTCTCTCTCTCTCTGGTCAAATTAAAATAAATGAATAAATTAAATAAATAAATAATTCTTTTTAAAAAAATAGGATCTTGCTTAATTTCAGTTATTCGAAGTTATTTTATTTTTACCTTTGTAATCATCATGTAGTCTTTACCTTATGGCCATAAATCTAAAACAAGAAAATGGCCTTTGAAAACTGCTGTAATAATTTCACAAGTCTTGGGAACCAGCAGTTAGCGCAATGGCTATGTCGCTGGACTCCCATAGTCGACCGCGGTTCGTGTCCCGGACCTGGTGGCTTAAAACTCACGCCAGGCGCATGTGCATGCGTGCCCAAGATCCCGAGAGGAGAATGGAGGAGAAGAGACTGCAGCGTGACCATCCCCCCTGGAGGGGATTTCTCGCTTTCTGTCTCTATGTCTCTCTCTGTATGTCTGGCAAGCACACGCACCCTACGGCAAAAACCTCTCCAAAAAAAATAAAAATAAATAAAATAAAAAAATAATAATTTCACAAGTCTAAAATGATAGGAAAAAATAAAAATCTATGTTCTATCATTAAAATTAAAGATGCTGACATCTTGCTACACTGACTGAATTTTGTTCCTTTCTATAAGTAACCAAACTTTACATACAGATAAAGCTGCAACACTTTTAATGATTCATCTTAGAATGCCCGGTTCAAAATATGTTTACATATTAGGGGTGGAAATGAAGAAGAACAAACTTTAAGAACAAAAAAAAAGGGGAATGAATTCATGAATTTCACGCTTAAAATCCTAAGAGTGATGAGAATGGTCTCTACTATTTTTTTCTCTGAGGAAAAAAAGTGTTCTCTCTTCACTGTGTCATAAGAGACAGCATCTGATCCAGCAGTAGTGGCACAGACAGTAGAGAACATCGCACAATGCTGGAGCCCCACAGAAGGCCTAGATCTGATTTCTGGACCAACCCTAAACAAGTGGGAGCAGAAGAGAGGGGTAATCCTAGATAGATAACTGAGAGGCCAGGGCAGAAGGACTGGCATGGTGAGATCCTGTCAAAAACATCTGTCCCTACACCTCAAGCTTATTTTTAAACAAAAAACAAAAAAAAAAGGAAAGAAAAAGTATCACAGTTACTATTAAATGGGAATGCACATAACCTGTGCATTCTACAACTTACAACAAAATTTTGAAAATCATTAAAAACAGTTTGAAGAAGGGAATGAATGATAGAACAGAACCTATATAATCCACATACTAACATGGGAATGGGAATAAATGTGTGTCTGAGAGAGAGAGAACACAAGTGGCCTGAACAACATACCGAGTGTGTGTGGTACCTGCAAAATCCCAAGAGAATGGAGGAGAAGGGACTGTGGCATGGGTGCCATTTCTCTATCTCTTTCTCTCTGGCCTGTGCACACCATACGATTTTTTTTTTTTTTTAAAGCAACTTACAGGCAAAGGAAACAGCTTCCCATTTACTTTTATACACAGACTATTGGGATAGTTATCTTCTTGAGGGCAACTTGTCTCTGCCAGGCAAAGTCTGCATTTAAAAAAGATAAGAAATATACTTAAGTATTATACTCAAATATGCACACAGTTAGCAAGTATAAAATTAATGGAACAAAATTTCAAACTCACCTCAGCTGAACTTGAACTGTATAATCTCTCCTACCACCAGGCAAAAAATCTCTGTTGGAAAGAGAAAGAAAATGGGTTAAGAAAGCACAATGAGGGCCAGCAGATAGCGTAATGATTACATCACTGGACTCCCACATAGTCAACTGCAGTTTGAACCTCAGACCTTGAGGCTTGAACCGAGTTTCAAGTGACCGGGTCCAGGACTTGTATGGTAAGCTATGTGGTAGTCTGGCACCTTAACCACTACGCTACTTGTAAGACACTCTACCCAATTTTTTGGTCAAGATGACTCCACAGGTAACTTTGCCTGGAGTTGTTCAGATTTAGGTTATTGTCTCAGAATTTTTAATAATGTCCATTTTCACTCTCAATAATGTCCCTGTCTGGAATGATAAAATTTATGTCACCCTATATTTGGACTGTTATCACAAATACTGAATTGTGTATCCCCCCAAATTCAGATGTTAAAGCTCCAATCCCCACTGTGATTGTATTTAGAAATAAAAGCCTTTAAAGAGAAAAGGCTAAATGAAGTTATAAGGGTGGGTACCTAAACCAATATGACTGGGGTCCTTAGAAAAGGAAAAGACTTCAGGAGTGCACTGGGACCAAGAAAAGGTAACGTGAGGACCTAGCAAGATGTGTGAGCCAAACAGAAAGGTTTCATGATAAATCAAACATGCTAATACTTTGATCTTGGACAAAAGCCACCAGAATTTTGAGAGATAAATTTCCATTGTTTAAGCCACCTAGTCTGTAGTATATCATTATTAGCTCTTGCACATGAATTCACTAGTACATCAACATTCATGGACAAGTACGTTCCATACATTTTTCTTACCTGGATATGCATATCTCTCTAACTTGTTGAGGGGTCAAGGCAAAAATAAAAAACTTCTCTTGGAATCGTTGTATACTGCTTTGAACTGAGAAGAAAAAAAAGAAAAATATTTCAATAATAAATCCAAGTTGATATAAAACCACCTGCAATAAGCAGGCACTTCTGATCAAGGGTACACCAAATGCTTCAATGTTTATGATTAAAATACTCCAAAATCAAGAGTACTAAACTGAATTCATCTTGTAAACCGTGAGTAAAGACACAATAAAGGCTTTTTTTTCACTTTAAGAATTTGTTAAGTTTTTAAATTGTGAAACACTAATTATAATATACAGTCAAAATATAGCAAAACTCTTCAATTTTATACTTCATCCTATCCCATAGTATCACTTAAAAACTTTCCCTAAGGGGCCCAGCAGGTGGAGTGGTGGTTAGGGCACTGGACTCCCGCATGGCCGAACAGTTTGAGTACCAGACCTGGCAGCTTGCTCTCTTTCTCTCTTTCTCATAAGTGCACACATACCCAATAGCAAAATTTAAAAATAATAATGATAATAAATAAAATTAAATAAATGATTATTTTTAAAAACAAACTTTCCCTAGAACTCTATACAATAACAAAGTTTTTTGTTTCTTTGCTGTGTTTGTTTTTTATGCTTTATATTTAATTACATAAAGCACAGACATAAGAAAAAATTTTTAATCTCATAATAACTTATATACAAGATTGCCTAGTTTAAAAAAGATTACCAAGCCGGCAGATGACATGGTAGTTAAGGGCACTGGATTCCTACATAGCTAACTGTGGTTCGACTCCTGGATCTGGTGGCTTGCCTTTTCACTTTCCCTCCCTCTTTCTCTCTCATGCTCATTCTGTCCCACTCTGGTCAAATTTAAAATAAATTCATGCATAAATAAAGTTAAATGATTATTTTTAAAAAAGATTACCTTCTTATCTGTGTTTTTTAAGTAATTATTTAATTTTATTATTATTTTCTTTTTACTTTGCTATAGGGCATGTGTATTTGCTAGAGAGAGAGGAAAAAAGTGAAAAAGCAAGTTGCCAGGTCAAGGACTCAAACCACAGTTGGCCATGTGGAATACAGAGCCTTAACTACCACACCACCTGCTGATCCTCTTACATGTTATTTAAAACTAAAATGTATTTGTAACTTCACAAAGAACTATAATAGATAAATTATTCAATAATATTCTAGTTTCCATTTAAATAAAACAAAGCAAAGCTAATATATTGTAAATGCCTTCATTCTGTTTCCTCATGAGTACTGCACTATGCCCAGTAAGAGGGAAAATGGCCCTTGTGTATGTTACTCCCCACAGTTTTCCTGATGGGTGAAGATATAAACAAGTTGCTGGTTTAATATCCTTTGTCAGAAGGCTTCAATCACAAGTCACACCAAATCAAGAAAAACATTATTAACTCCTTGGTAAAACACTCTTTTCTTTAAGTGTAGGCATTTTATTTTGTAGCAACTATGATCCTAGGAATCGTGACCTAAAATGGTTCTTATTTTTTTAGAACACTTAAAAAAAGGAGATAGGGAAGGATGCTGATTATGATAAAGGCCTAAAAATAAAACAAAATTTCAGATTTAAATATAATTATGGGTGGACAGCAGATGGCATAACAGTTATGTCACTTACTGGACACCCACATGGTAGTCAGTGATTCAAGTTCCAGACCCAGTGGCTTGAAAATCATGCCAGGCATGTGTGCCTACATGCCCAAGATCCCAGGAGGAGAACAGAGAAGGATTGTGGCATGACCATTCCCCAAGTGATTTCTCACTTTCCCTCTCAGTCTCTATCTCTCTATCCCCCTGGTAAGTGCACATGCCCTAAAGCAAAAACCTCTTTAAACAAACAAAAAACAAGGGGGGAGGGCAGACACTGTAGTGGTTAAGGGCACTGGACTCCCACATAGCCAACCGTGGTTCGAGTCCAGAACCTGGAGGCTTGCTTCCTCACTTTTCCTCTCTCTCTCACTATGTCCCTCCCTCCCTGGTCAAATTAAAACAAATAAAGTTAAATAAAATAATTCTTAAAAATATACATATATACATACACATATATATATATATATATATATATATAGTCATGAGGCATAAAACACAATGACATATGAGTATAGTACAGCAGTAAGTCCATTTCTTTGGTTCCTATTCACTATCCAATCTTTTCTTTTTTGTAGACATCCCACTTCCCACTCTCAGCTAAGGTCATCCAAACCCTTTAACTGTAAAATTCAATAATTTATATTTTAAGATTACAAGGGAACAGAGAAGGGATTGTGGCATGGCCATCCCCCAAATGATTTCTCACTTTCCCTCTCACTGTCTTAGTTAATGGCATATGGGTCCAGTCTCTCTGGCCAGAAACCGCAAAAGATCTAACATAAGTACAAATGGAGTCCCAAAATGAGAAAGTGAAGAAAACAGTTTAAATTAAAAAAAAAAAAAAACACAGAAACAAAAACAAAAAACCTTGCAGAAATTATTAAAGAATAATCCCTAAGTTTGATGGAGGGAAAAGGGGATTTACATATCAATCCCAAAAAATAATACAAAGAAAACTACCTAATCATATCATAATCAAACTAAAACCCAGCAACTATAAAATCCTGAAAGCAGCCAGAGAAAAAAGAAAATTTTGTACAAGCAAATAACACCAAAAAAAGGCTGACTTCTTTTAAAAAGAATGTAAGTCAAAAGATACCTTAAAAGTTAGATAAAAAGGATAAAAAGAGTCAACTGGAAAATCAACCACTCAAAAACAGTGATATACTAACTTTTCAAATAAAATAAAAGCTAAGAGAATCTGTTGACAACAGACATGCATTAGAAAAATGTAAAGGGAGGGACCAGCAGTTAGCGTAATGGCTATATCACTGGACTCCCATATAGTCGACTGCGATTCGAGTCGCGGACCTGCCTGGTGGCTTAAACTTACGCCGGGCACGTGTGTATGCATGCCCAAGATCCCGAGAGGAGAATGGAGGAGAAGGGATTGCAGCATGGCTATCCCCCCTGGGGGATGATTTCTCACTTTCTGTCTCTCTGTCTCTTTCTGGCGAGCGCACACACCCTATAGCAAAAACCTCTCCAAAAAAAAGTAAAAGGAAATAATCAAGATTAAGAAGATATAAATTGGGGCCAGCAGGTAGCAGGATGGTCAGGGCACTGAACTCCCACATGACTGTCCTCAGTACATACAAGTCCTGGACCTGGCAGCTTGCTTTCTTGCTCTTTCTGTCTCTCTCTGGTCACATTTAAAATAATAATAATAAATAAAATTAAATAATTTTCTTTTTTTAAGTTTAAATAAAGATACAAATCACAGGCCAGGTCTATAGCATAGCAATTAATCAAAAGATGCTGGATCCCACTCTAACCAGAAATACGAGTCCTGGCTCTGGAAGTTGAAAAACACACAGGAGGGGGCCCACAGGTGGATGGTGGTTGGGCCATTGGACTCTCACATGGCTGATAGAAGTTCGAGTCCCAAATTGATGGCGTGCTTTCTCACTTTCCCTCTTCTCTCTCTCTGGTCAACTTAAAAAACATTTTTTAAAAATGATAATCAACAAAATTTTTAAAAATAATTCTTAAAAAAAAAAAAGAAAGAAAAACACACTGGATACACATGCTCAGGAATCTAACCAGATGGAGAATTGGAGGAAAAAGGAATACAGCGTGACCAGACCCCATTGAAGACTGCTTTCTCTCTACGTCTCCTCCTTTCTCCACTCCCTTCCAAGCAAGCTCACCCACCATCTAGTATTAAAAATATATTTATTATATATATTTATATATATATGTGTGTGTGTGTGTATTTTTTTTACACATGCACATACACAAACAAAAATTGGATCCTTGGGAATGAGAATCACCACAAAGAGTAAATAAGTAGTAAATGATTAAAGCAAAAGTAATAGCACTGAAAGACAGGATTTATAAATCAAACTATCTGCTCAATGGCTATGCTTCTTGCTTCATTCTCATAAGATGTATCATCTCTACAGATTTAGATTCACTTTTATTTTCCTCAAAATGACACATTTTTATACCCGACAAAGGTAACACCAAGCCTCTCCTGAATTCCCCAGGATAAACACCAGTATCTGAGCCCTGCATGTATGGCTAGAGTTAAACTATCCAGAAAAGTTCCTATAAACCAGGTACCTTAACATTTAAAACTGGAGTGTTTCCATACTCAGTAGGTGCAATACATGCATAACTTTTTTCTCCCCTATTGTCTACAACTTGGGGTGAGAAAAACAATTCTACACAGATTATACAAATGCTTTTAACAGCAATGAACGAGAACAAAAAGACCATGACTCAAAGATATGAATTAAATATAACTTTATCAAATCCTTTCCTTTTTAAACAATCATTCATAATATAGATTCTATTTTCCAAATATGGCACAATACCTCCCACCATGTTCTTCTTATAATATAATCTGGATACTATTCCAATTGAGTAGTAAGGTCTACATCACCCTTCCTTCAATGCAAATAGCCTTTTGTAAATGCTTCAAACAATAGCATACAGTACGCTGTAATCATACAAGGCTAGACCTTTAAAGTGCAATATTTACCTTTATTGCTCTGTAGGCACACTAATTCTTAGAACGTAGTTCTTAAGCTATAAAGAAGCCCAATCTATAACATACAAGAAGCCACACGTAGGTCACCTAACAGCCAAGCTGAGTCCAAACCATTAGGTAGCTAGCTGTTAGACACATCAGTGAAAATGCCTCCAAGTAATCCAAGCTTCTAGGCATCAAGGGACCTAAGAATCTAAGCCTTCTCAATTAAGATACCAGACATCTCTGGATAAAGACAAATCATCCACACTCTGTCCTTCCAAATCCCTAACTCGGACAATCTATGAGCATAATAAAGTGTATGTCTTACAATACTGTGCTTTAGAATATTGCATAACAACAGTAAGTAAAATGATGCCCAAAATTTTAGAATACTATGAATTTTAAATTGTATTATTATATTCAGATTCATTCATAATTGCTAATGAGAAAGTTTGCTGCTATGATAAATAGTTATGACTGGGCCAGCCCTGTGGTGGTTAAAGAGGCTGAACCCCCATGGCTGACTGCACGATTTGAGATCCAGATCCAACAGCCTGAAAAACACAGAGGGAGGCCAGTAGGTAGCATGGTGGTTAAGATGCTATACACTCCCAAATGGCCAACCATGGTTCGCATCCCAGACCTGGAGGCTTGTTTTCTCACTTTCCTTCTCTCCCTCATTGTGTCTGCCTCTGGTCAAATTGAAACAAATGAGTGAATAAAATTAAATAAATAATTTTTTAAGTTAAAAAAAGAAAAAGAAAAACACACCAGAGTATGTGCACAAATGTCTAAAATCACATGAGAAGAATGGAGGCAAAGGGATTGCAGTATGGCCATATCCCTTCCCCTCCCTCAGGGGATGCTCTCTCACTTTACCTTTCTCTGTCTCTACAGAAAGTGACTTATAGCAACAGTTTAAAAAAAAAAGGGACCAGCAGTTAGCGTACTGGCTATGTCGCTGGACTCCCACGTAGTTGACCGCGGTTCGTGTCCCGGACCCGGTGGCTTAAAACTCACACCGGGCGCATGTGCATGCGTGCCCAAGATCCCGAGAGGAGAATGGAGAAGGGATTACAGCGTGGCCATGCCCCCTGGGGGGTGATTTCTCACTTTCTGTCTCTCTGTCTCTGTCTGTCTGGCGAGCGCACGCGCCCTATAGCGAAAAATCTCTCCAAAAAAAAAAAGAAAAGAAATAAAAAGAGGCCAAGGTAGTACATTTATTTTATGTGTATTTACCACAATAAAAAAAATTGTGGAAAATAATACACTTAAATGATATGAAGTACCATTTTTATGTCAGATGCCAGTCATTGGTACCAAACTTGTTTCCAAGTACATATGTGAACAACGGCATTAAAGCCTCAATTTTACTGAGTCATCAGGAAAGTCATGGCACATTTTTGCACAGAAAAATATGCTATGATTTTCCCAACCATCTAGTATAATATTGACAGATCAGGGCCGACAGGTGGCATGGTTGTTAAGGGTACTCGACTCCCACATGGCTGACTGCATTTCAACTCCTGGACCTGGCAGCTTGCTTTCTCATTTCCTCTCTCTCTTTCTTGCTCTGTTCCTCACTGGTTCAATTAAAATAAAAAATAAAGTTAAATGAAATAATTCTTTGAAAAAAAATATATTGACAGATTATTCATCAATAATTAAAGGCTCCTTTTCCTATTTACTCCCTTGTCCAGAAAAAAATGTTTCCTCTAACACTTACCTAAACTGGTGGGCTTGATAAGAACATCAAGGACATCATAAAAGGGTAGGTTTTTTAACTGCACATCAGGATGAACAGGAGGAATTGGGGGAGATGGCTGCTGCATCTCAAATGTGGGCTTAGTATCTTGAAGCAGCACAGAACCAACAGGAGAGGACGGTGAGTGAGGTGTAACTGAAGTGGAAGGCAACGAGTGGATTCCAGCCACAGCCAAGTCAGGTTCTACAGGTGATGAGCTACCATCCAAATTGAAAACCGATGATTTGATTGTGGATAAATCAGAGAGTCCTTCGAGGGTCCGTGGATAGCGGCGTCTATACAATTCTCGGATTTTAATCTGAACCGCAGGGCTGCAGCCGCTCTTCAGTAAGTGCAGCGCCCTCATCAGGAGGTCATGCTTGCGTCCACTTTTATTCCGTCCGGCAAAGCCCAGTAACACTTGTAGTTCGGAAACTCTAAAACTAGAAACCATATTCTAAAGGAAAGAAAAAAATAAATTTAAAAAAAAAGTCACCACCCTCAAAGCACATAAGTATTCTAACTAAAATATACCATAAAATCTGAATTTTCCAGTAGTCCATCAACTGACATGTATTAGTAACCAGCATTTTAATATACAGATTATTCATAAGGCTAACCCCCAAAAAAATTACAATCAAAGTATGGTGTTAATTATATTTTGCTGTACTCTTTCAATTTAGTAAGCACTATTAACCATTTCACCATCTGATTATACTCAAATATAAGTATCCATATTTACATTATGATTATGAAATAAATAACCAATGAAAATGTTTCTTTTCAAAATTAACACCAATTAGCCAAACAGAAATTTTTTTTTTGCAAGAGAATTTTGCCAAAGGTCATGTGTGCTTGCCAGAGAGACAGAGACAGAAAGCAAGAAATCACCCCTAGGGTGGGTGGCCACACCATAATCCCTTCTTCATTTTCCTCTCAGGATTTTGGGAATGTGTATGATCACGAGTCCAGAGTGAGTTTCAGGCCTCAGGGTCTGGGACTCAAAACGCAATCAGCCAAGTAGCTGTCCAACACCTTAACCACTACACCACCTGCTGGTCCCCAGAAAATAAATTTTACAATGTTACATGCATTTACTTCTGACACTGAATAGTAAGTCTACAAAATCAAGACATAACTATGATCCAAAATTCAACCAATTTTCATCACAACTGAAACATTAAGGGGGGCTGGCAGGTGGTGTGGTGGTTAAGGGTGCTAGACTTCCCACAAGGCTGACCACAGTTCGAGTCCCAGGCCTGGTGGCTTGCTTTCTCACTTTCTCTCTCTGGTCAAACTGGAAGATAATAATATTAATAATAAAATAAATAAAATATTTTTTTAAATCAAGGAACAGACAGCATAATGAAAAAATTTACTTTAAAATACCAAAGCTAAAAATCACATACATAATGGGGCCAGCAGGCAGCGTGGTGGTTAAGGTGTTGGAATTCCCACATGGCTGATGGCTTGATTTCTCTCTCTCTCTGCCTGTCTCTGGCAAAACTCATGTGGAATTAGTTAATTAATTCTTTAAAAAATAAAATCACATACATACTATTTATCTTCTAAAATGAATGAAATTCCCAGGTGGGTATCCAAATGAGAAAAAGACTTTTGAAGAGTAAGGAAATGAGTAGTCGTAAAACTAAAAGGACAAGATTTCCTCCACACACTTTACTGACTTGTTCCTGGCTATAAAAACAAAGATCATAAGCAGTTCCTGGATCACATCTCACTTTCTTTTTATTCAATGAAACTTAGTTATTATTTTCAACCACTTGCGGCCTCATGAATCCACCTACTTAGTGATTTTCAGCCAATTATTCTGAACCCAGAGGTACACCACACTTAGATCAGATTCACCTATATCACTAAGGCAAAACAGAAGATATGGAGGAACCAAGGCCGTTTCAGAAAACTACCCTCAGGAGACCTCAGTTATACCACCTCAGGGTTTTCCCACCCCTACTCCTCAGTACTGCACATTCCACAGTCATCTGGGATTTCGTTTCAACCTGCTCTTCCATTGGCCTAGTGACAATGTAAGGTAGTGCCTACAAACAGCAAGCACTGAGCCATAATTCCTGTGTTCTACATTTTTCAGTTTCAGTGACAGCCCAGAAGCGATTGTTTAAAATCCTGTATAGCTGATAAAGAGTTGTCAGAAATAACATTTAACTATAAATCAAAGCAACCTGTGAACACCAGATCATAATTGTCCTTCATGTATTGTCACCATAATTTATACTGCATCAAATAGAGAATATTAATTCATAACTCTAGCTCCAATTTATACTCTCAAGAAGTGCTCTCCAAGGGGGACCAGCAGGTGGCGTGGTGGTTAAGGTGATGGACACTCCCACATGGCCGACCATAGTTCGAGTCCCGGACCTGGTGGCTTGCTCTCTCACTTTCTTTCTCTTTCTCTTTCTCTCTCTCTCTCTCTCCCTCCCTCCCTCCCTCCCTCCCTCTGGTCAAATTAAAATGAATGAATGAATAAATAAAAAATAATTCTTTTTTTTAAAAAAAGAAGTGCTCTCCAATAGATATATAATAGAAGTGACATGTGTAATTCTAAATTTTCTAGTATCAACATTAAGATAATAAGTTTAAGTTAACTTAGATAATATATTTTTAACCCAGTATTTCAAAAGTACTATCAATATATACTCACTTTTTGTGACTTAGAAATAATCCATTTTTTTAAAGTACTGATGAGATTTCTTTTCATCCTAGTCTTTGATATCCACTGTGTCGTTTACACTTACAATATATTTCAATGTGGACTAACCACATTTTGAGTGTACAAGAGCCACATGTAGCTACTGCTACCACACTGGTGCAGCTCTAAGTTATATTCTAATAGTAACACATATCACAATGTCATGATCATTATATTTTAATCTGCTTCATTTTCTCCATGTATAAAATGAAAATTTTATTTATCTTACCCTACACTGTACAAAAGATGAAAATTTCTGACCTATCTCATGACATACCAGTTACAGCTTACTCAAGGTTTCATGCATAAAGACAATGAAAGCTTTTTGGGAAGTGTTTTCCCAGGCAAGAAATATGACACATCTTTCCCAAAGTCCTCAATCTTACTATTAGAGCTGAGTGTAGAACACTAACACCAACAAAGATAGTCACACTATACAAGATATCTGTGATTTTTTTCCCCCAAAGAAACCAGATTAATTCAGAAGTCACTACTTTGCATCACTCTTTACACTTACTTTCAGATATTTACTGTAAGGAAGCCTGCTTTACAAAAATGACAAAATAGAGCACAAAATTAGCCTATCAAAGCTTAACTCTCAAAAAGGGATTTCTGGGCAGTCTCATATATATTTCCAGTAGTAACATTATTTGGCAAACGATGCTAATGTAATAGGCTCTGCTAGCTGTTGTAAATAATGCAAATAAAAAGGAACAAAGAGGTAAGAACTTAGAATGATGCATGTGGAATCTCAGAGTTCTGCAGAGCAGATGGTATCAGTCAGTCTTCACATTGCAAAATGCTGCAAAAATAAAGTATTGTCCCCAGCCTCCACAACACACATAGCCAAAGATAATGGCTTTGAGAGTAAACAGGGACATGTAGAAAACTTTAAACCAGCAGTCAGTAAAGATTGAGGACACTGGGAAAGTCATTTCATCCTGCTGATAACCAATTAGTTAATTAATTACTTTTTCCTTTTCTCCATTCCTCCCTCACTTTCTTCCTTTCCCTTCTTCCCCTTGCTTGCTCCTTCCTTCCTTCCTCCCTCCCTCCCTTCCCTCTTTCATTCATTCATTCATGTTTTTGCCATAGGGCACATTCATTCATTCTTTTTGCCATAGGGCACGTGCATCCGCCAGAAAGAGACAGAGAGACAATGAGAAAGAGAGACAATGAGAAGGAAAGTGAGAAATCACCCCTCTTCCTCCCCCAGGGGCAGCCACACTGCATGCACCTGGTGTGATTTTCAAGTCACCAGGTCTGGAACTTGAACCGTGGTCAACCATGTGGGAGTCTAGCAACTTAACCACTATGTCACCTGCTGGCCCAACCAATTTATCTGTGGGGCTAACAGGTGGCAATGGAGTCCCACAAGGCCAACTACTGCTTGAGTTCCAGACCTGACAGCTTACTTTTCACATTCTCTCTCTCTCTCTCTCGCTCTCACACTGTCCCTCTCTGGTCAAATTAAAATAAATAAATAAATAAAGTTAAATAAAATAATTATTTAAACAAATTTTTAAATTATTTGTATTTATTATATTTAAATTGGCTACAGCGCACACGCTCTCACCAGAGAGTGACAGAGACATAAGTAAAATAAGAAAGCAAAGCCACCAGGCCTAGGACTCCAACTGAGGATAGCCATGTGGGAGTCCAGTGCCTTAACCACCACACCACCTGCTGGCCCCCAACCTATTTAAAAGTGATAACCAAAACCAAAATAAAAACATTAACCACCACAACTGAAGAAATACTCTTCTATTTTTTATTTAGCACTTACTGATCAGATAATCTCAGAAGAGCTGATTAAGCAAAATTCTAGTAAAATCCCAGCAAATCTTGCTGGATTCCATTTCTTTTCTTAATTTTGTTAGAAGGCACTTGCACACATTGAGGGAGGGACAGAGAGAGAGAGGAGAAAAGTAAGAAAGCACACCACCCTCACAGCAACATGGTAATTCCTTCTCCTCCTTTCTGCTCTGGGAATTCTGGGCCAGCACACAAGCACACAAGCCTGGCTTGATTTCCAAAGTACCAGAATCTAGAACTTGAACCAAGCAGTCAGCGATGTGAAATCCAGCCACCTTAACCACTATGCTACCAGCTGGCCCCACATTTCTTCTTAAAGTGACACCTGTTTTTTTAACTTGGTCTTCAACCAAGTTTCAGGTTCTTCCAACAATCAATGGATATAGTGAGTAGAAAGGGTCATCAAAGTTCTTATGGGGAAAGATTACGCTGGTATGAATCTTAGCAAGAAAGGAGAGTTTAGCTACTTTTTTCCTCCACCAATCTCTGACATGTACACACCTTTAATCTAACTTTCTGCAAACTTTTTTCTTCCTAAAAATTTCCCTCCTAAAGTCCTCCAAAGTCTGCCCTCCAATACTTTAGTTACTACTGGCATGTGCTCTACAAAGAGGAATTTCTGTATAGAGAAATATGTCAGCATAATTAATTTTTTAAAAAAAGATCATTTGAATTCTAAAGAAAACTTAAAATAAATTAAGACTAAAACTTAAACTTTTGTTTAACCAAATTTAAATAAATTATGTATAAAATCATAATTTATTTTTACAGTTGGGACATTATGTAAATGAAACATTACATGTAACAAGGAAAATAAGGGCTAGTCCTGTACCATAGTGGTTAATGGAGCTAGATTTCACATCTTTAAATTGGCTACAGCCAATCACAGTTTCAAATTCTAGCCTGACAGCTTGACA